AACAATTCCTGTTTGCGCAGTGATTCTTGACCTGAGAGCAAAGGCACATGGCACGTTTGAGGGCCAGGCGTATATATATTTTCAATGTGGTATGTGTACATTAAAAAAAAAGTTAACAGAGGTAAATACTGTTAGCTGACAGTGCATAAAGGGGACTGTAATTACTGTAATGGTTTGTTACATGTGGAATTGATGATCTATTCAGTAAATCTTCACTCAATTCACAACAAATGCTTTTTTTTTTAAAAAAAAAAGCTACCTCTCTACTACAGAACTAACAAATGACTGCTCCTTTTCTGATTCCAATGCTAAGATAACTTGAATCTCGAACAGAACTTTGTATCTACATCTTTTAACACTGCACACAGACTTTGGTTACAGGCCTGGCTCTAAGACTAGGCTATAGTATTTACTGGTGGAATAGATTCTATGCATATTGCCTAACTTCTGAGGTTCAAATCTCTTCATCTGTAAACAGGATGATATTAACCTCTTCACAGGGTGGCCAAAAGAATCAAATGAAGTATTACACATACGAATGTCATCATTAGGACACAGTCCAAGAACAAAAAATATCTGCCCTACTACATGATTCCTAACAATGAAGACTATCTCCTTTTCCTCAGACTTTCAGTTCCTCATCATACAAATGAGGAACCCTGGGTCCCAATCTTTGCTTCTTGCCCCGCCCCTTTAGATTTTCAATCCATTCACAACACATCCAGGGTCTTTAACAACAACGTCACTTACAGTGGGGTATTCGTTCTTCACTGGCAGTTTGTTCAAGTAGTTGTAGCTCTTGTCTTTTTGAATGGGGCAGCTGATTCCACTCTTACAACCATCAGGCACAGGGATGGGAAAGGGGACTGGGAGACCCATCACAATGCCATGCACCAAGGCTGTGCTGTTTTTGGAATAAGTATCTATAAAGGGAAAGAGAATCTGATTGTAAGGAAAACAGCCTATTTCTGAACTCTAAGTGAAAAATCTGGGTATGTTCCCAAACCACAGCATTGCTATAAAAGCACATTAAAGCCTGTACGTCTTGATTCCCAGGATCAATTTCTCTTTGTAGCTATGCTCAGTAGCAAGCGCTCACACTAACACTTGAAGGGAAAAAAGCAGCAACCCACAGGAGTTGCTTTCTTTGCACTAACCCCACTTTGTTCCTCGCTGCCTTTCAGTTTCTCGGAAGAATCAGAGCTGCCTGGATAAATTTGGTAGTAAATTTTAATGTTTCTGTCAAGGTGCATTGTGCGTCTTTTAGAAGATTAGTTTCTGGATTCTCAAATATCCTGTCCCAAAGAATTCCATTGCTGTTGTTACTGTTAAGTGCCGCTGAGTCAATTCTGACTCATAGAGTCCTTGTATAGGGTTTCCAAGGAGCAGCTGGTGGGTGGGAATTGCCGACCTTGCGGTTAGCAGTCCATTGCTTATCCAACACCAGGATTCCAGAAGATTCCATTAGCAATTAATAATTCAATGGATGGCAATATGGAAACAGTATGGAATAAGTTCTCATAGAAATGCCATGGCTGTAACAATGGCAAAAGAAGCAAAACCTTTAGAATGTGTAAAAGATTAAAAAGAGGTGTATTTCTTGCTAACTTCCACCTGCATATCAGAAGATGAGCTGAAAAAAGGATAAAGGTATTATAAAATTAATTAGGAGCTGTTAGCGTATTCTGGAGATTTAGGGAGTATGGCTCTGTTTCTTTCTTTCTCTCTGGGTTAGGGTTGATTTTTTTTTTTTTTTAAAGAAGGCAATTTTGTTTGTTTGTTTGGAACAACAAAGGGGCTAGGTTATTACTCAAAAGAGAAAACAGGGATTGAAGTTGTCTCTACACTTAAAACAAGAGAAGACAGGAACTTTCAGATTTCTTATTAGACTGTTTAGTCTAGTTCTCTAGGGTAGAAAATGAGGGAAGGCTGATGGACTGTCCAGAAATAAGCATTTTTTTTTTGCATTTGTCTAGATTCTTGAGAATCTGAAAGTGATGAATATAGTATAATAAAGCAACAAGTTCCAACACTATTTCTTCAAGTTGAAGAAGAAAGCTCAAACTTCGTATTAATGCCTGGGTTTTCAGTAGCTTTCCTAACCCTTACAGAGACTGTGAAATATTGAACACACCTTTACTTTCAGACAGGTCATAGGCTCAATAGCAAGGCATACTGCTTGAAATAACATTCTGGAGGAGCTCCAAACTCTAAATTACTGGCGGTTGTAGTAATATTCTACAGTGCCGACATTCCCTTATCAGTCTGCTGTGCAACAGAGACCACAATGGGACAAAGAAAAGCCGAGCTCTTGCCTCTAACCTATTATTGTTGTCGCTGTTAAGTGCCATCGAGTCGGTTCCGACCCATAGCGACCCTGTATAGGGTTTCCAAGGAGTCGCTGGTGAGCTTGAACTGCCAACCTTGCAGTTCAAACAGCTTTGTAGTCTGGTGCATTAACCCAAAGTCCCACACCAGGGTTGCGCTCTAACCTATGAACACATGTAAATGTCCCTGTTGGCTGAATGGGAGTCTGCCAACTATGGAATGCAGGCATGCAAACACGGAACTTGGTCTGAGTTGGAAGAAGACAGAACTCCTGACATTCAGTCCCCTTCCTTACATCCCCTTGCTCACTTCTGGACTTGAGATTTACGTTCTGCTTTACAATGAATTTGAAGGGAAGAGGCCTTGTACTCACTGCTGGTGAAGGTGACATTAACACTGTAAGACTGTCCTCTGACCAGCTGGCATGGCTGAGTGGGGCATGGGCTCACATTCACTTCCTGTACAACTCCGACCACAGACCCTGCAAAAAAAAAAATAAATAAATGAATTGGAACAGAAGGAAAAATAAACCAACTAAGCTGCTCCCTATCTAATGGGAAGCTGCTCTGCTCTTTCAATTAGCATGCTTTCATTCTTTCTTCTTTGACTATTTCCCTGGGATCAAATGCTTCAAGACAATGCTCTATTAAAAGCCAGAATCTTGATTCATCCTACTGCCAAAATCATATCCTATAAATCAGATGAAAAGAGGCTTGTTGATTTCTTGACCACAGAAAGTTATTATTCTCAAACTAAACATCCAGAGACCATATCCACAAAAGGTCACCATCAAACAGATCAAGCTACAACCATAGGAACTTCTAAATTCTTGTGTTCCATTCTTAATGATAAGGATTCCACAGTTCAAAATCAAACTTCAACATTTGCCTCTCATTTCCTTTTGATTAAAATACCCCTGCTTTCTCATACATTTCCTAACTAACAGAGAAGCACTCAACATTGCAAAGAGTTTTCCATTAAAGGAAAACTGCATTTTATGCACAAATAGCAAGAAGGTAACATGGAATCTGAAACTCCAAGGAGGTAGATCCGAAATAAGACATCTTTCTACCTCAGGTTCTACAAGAGCATTTCTTTACTTAAGTTGTCTCTGTTAATATATGTTGGGAAGTCAGCCAGTTCTCAGAACAGACAGAACCTATTTGGAGTTTTAACTTCGGAGACTCATTTGTTTTAGATTCTGTAGAAATTGTACCTTGAGTAGCACAGACAAAAACTGAGGCACTGAAGAAAAAATGATGGTCAAATTAATCTGAAGACGATATCTACAATTTACCTTGTAACAAAGGGCTTTATCATCCTTGTTTCAAAGAGAAGAGAAGAGGAAAAAGATTATTGCAACTTGTCTAAGTCACACTGTCTGTTCAGGGCATATCCGAGACTCAATAAATTGGTCTTATTTTGACACTCTTAGGGAATTCAATGTAACCTTTAAGTAAGTAAGTAGTCATCTGCCAAATGGTTGTTGTTATTAAGTGCCATCAAGTCAGTTTTGACTCACACCAACACTATATAGGGTTTATGAGGAGCAGCTGGTGGGTTCGAACTGTCAACCTTGTGGTTTGAAGTCCAGTGCTGATCCTACAGTGCCACACCACGACTGTAGCCTTTAAATAAGTAGCCATCCTGACAAACGGTAAGAAAATCCAAAGAAATTCCTAATTGAGAATTACTTGAGGACCGGAAGACAAACCTAATTCTCTTACTCAAAGCCTTTTCAGGTTTCTTGATTCAGCACTGCCTCCTTGGCCTTCACCACTGTTCTCTTCCTATGCCTGAGGTTCAACATTCACAGCCTTTGTGATTTTCAGTGATGAAGAGACATAAATTTTCAGATTTTACAAATCCTTTGCCCAGTATTTTACCTTCTTTAAATCTGTTGTTCTTTGGCCTTACTCTGACTGCCTGGAGAAATAAAGCAGTTGTTGTTAAGTGCTGTCGAGTCAATTGCGACTCATAGCAACTCTGTGCAGGGTTTCCAAGGAGCAACTGGTGTTTCTCAACCGCCAACCTTGTAGTTCACACTACCATTGCAGTCCAGCGCATTCACATTAGAGCGGAGTTAATGAAATATTTGACCAAATATAGCAGGCTAATTATTAAGCTGATAATTGTGTATGGCCAGGGTATGATGTTATAAATTTTGGCAGAAGGTTCCCTACTCCTGCTATAGGGAGGGCATCGCTTTGAGCTGGAGCAAGTACTGCTTTATTTCTCCAGGAGTCCTGGTGTGGTGCTGTACTGAACCACAAGGTTGGTTTGAACTGTAAGGTTCAAACAAATCGCCACTCCTCGGAAATCCTATACAGGGTCACTAGGGGTTGGAACCAACTCAATGGCACACAACAAAGGTGATGGCTACGAGTCCTGGTGTGGTACTGTAGGAAAAGCACTAGACCACAAGATTGGTTTTGAACCTCAAGGTAGACAGTTCAAACAAATAGCCACTCCTTGGAAATCCTACACAGGGTCGCGATGGTCGGAACCAAACTGAAGACACTTAACAACATGATAGCTAGAGTCCTGGTGAGGTGCTGTAGGATAAGCACAAGACTGCAAAGTCAGTTTGAACTGCAAGGATCGCAGTTCAAACTCACCAGTAGCTCCTCGGAAACCCTATTACAGGGTTGAAACTGACTCAACAGTACTTAACAATGTGATGGCTGGAACTGCGGTTGCCTTGACAAGTACTGACCAAATGATTTAGAGAGCCTCATGGAGTCCTGGTGTGGCTCTGCGGGCTAATGTGCCAGAATGCAAAGTTGTTTGAACTGCAAGGTTGGCGGTTCAAGCTCACCAGCTGCTACTCAGAAACCCATACAAGGTTGCTATGGGTTGGAACCGATTTGACAGCACTTCACAACAATATATGGCCTGTGGGCTGGATAGTCTCCACTTCTGCTATGTAGGTTTCTGAGGAGCAGTTGATGAGTCTGAACTGCCCAGCGCTTATCCTTCAGTGTCACATTACAGCCTTGGAAATCCTAAGGGACAGTTCTACTCTGTCCTATAAAGTCACCATGAGCTGGAAATCAACTCAACAGCACTGTTTTTGTTTTTAATTAGAAGTATGGGGAAAAACAGCAAACTATCAAAATGTCTTGGCTTGCCTTTTTTTTTTTTTTTTAATGTTTATTTGTTGCTGAGAATATACAAGAGGGCTACCAAAAGTTGGTGAGGAAATGGAATGAAAAGATAGTGGATTGTATGTAATTAAATGTCACGAGCTTTTTGAAGTCCCTCATACATAGCAAACCACACCAATGAGAGTTTCCACAAGTTCAATTCAGTAATGTAGATTACATTGTTCCAGGCAGGTAACCATTCTCATCCTGATTCACATCAACTACCTGAGAGCTGCTATGGTCAATGTGACCCATACAGATAAATGTCTCAAGACAGACATTCCTATCTAGTTAGGCTAAATTGCTGGGGTTTTTTTTTTTTTTAAGTTTTTATTGTGAATTGAATGAAAGTTTACAGGGAAGATCATCAGTTTTACATTCAATAAATCATATACTTTGTTTCATTACAACGATTATAATCCCCTCAATGTACCATAACAGTATTTCTCTCTATTCATTTTAGTTTTTTTGTTTTTAAACACTCAGGCATATATAATAATTTAAACCATCAAAGGGCACATTCTGCAAGCCTGCCTCCTGGCCGCCAGCTCTCAATCCCTCTCTTCCCATGAATCTAGAGTCCTCAGCTGCTCCCTCTCTCCACGTCTCCATCTCTGCCTCCATCTCTGGTGTCGCTGCTTCTCTGGATAAGATCCCACATTCCACTTGTGCTCTTCTCCCTTGATGGTCCTAGGGTCCTTTGTTTCTGGACTGTAAGATTAACTTCTCCCCCATTTTTGTTACAAAACTTCTACCGTTACAATTGTGATGGTCACAATTAGTCATGATAATAATTACTCACTATTGAATCATAAGAACCTTATCCCTGTCTCTTTTCACTAGACCCATCTAGACAACATGAAAACTATTCAGCAGGGACTCTATCTTCCCCCACACACTCTTAAACTAAAGTTCCCCTTGAAACCTTGTAAGCCCGTCACTTCATGCCTTTATCGCCCCCTCATTTTGGTAGCCAATGTCTAAGTTGCCTGTCCCCATCTACCCCGTATGTGAAGATTCCTTCCTTCTCTGTTGGAATTTTGAGCTACTAGAGTAGTGGTTACGAATCGGGCTGCGAACCACAAGGTCAGCAGTTCGAAACTACCAGCTGTTCCATGGGAGAAAGATGAGGCATTCTGTTCCCGTAAAGATTTACAGCCTTGGAAACCCTGTACAGGGTTGCTATGGGTCAGAACCAACTCGAAGGCACTTAACAACAACATGAATATAGGTCAAGTTCATCAAATTATAGAAATTTACCCTCATTTCCTTTATCAAAAATTGTTTATTTTTTATCTTCCTCTAGTCGAGTTCTGACCATCGAGGCTAGGTCAAATGGGTACTATCTGAAAGTCTGGGTGTTCTTGTGCGTCTCTCTTCACTTCATATCAGCTGGAAGCTTCACTCTCAGCTCTAGCCCTCTGTGGCTATGTCCTTGTCCATGGGCTCAGGACTTCCCAGGTCTCACCACACTTTGGACCAACCAGTCCTTCCTCTTCTTCTCTTTCATCTCCAGGTCAACGGGAGTCTGTGGAATGTGGTTGAACTCAGCCTATTTCTTCATTGCTGCCTTTCCCCCTCTCCCACTCACCAGTAGACCAATGTGGTCACCAGGTATCTTGCATGCCTGCTCATATGTTCCCTTTGAGTTTCAGTCTTAGTGGGGGGTTTGTCCTGAAGGGACTTGATTGTTTGCCTTGATGACTTCCCTGGCGAACAACTTGCTGATTCTTATAGTAGCCAATCAGAGTGCCATTTTTGGTTATTTTCCTGATGATCTTTCTTTGAAGATGTATCTTCTGTCATTCTAGCTGTTAAAGGCTGGTCTACTTGTCCTTTCTAAAGGTAATGTCCCACCTCAGAAGGTTCTGGAAGTGGCTCAGGATTCCACCTAAGGTCCTATACACTGCAAAGTGCTGTTTAAAGAACACTTCAGGGGAGATTTTTGGTTTAAAGTTAAAAGATTATGACTTAGGGCAATATTTTCAGGGATTTACTCAGCCTTCATGATTCCAGAAAGTACAGATTCTGTAAGAATTTGACATGGTGTTCTGAATATTCCCCTTCCTGTCTTGGTTTTTGAAATTTGGCTAATTCAGAAACCAACTCACTTAGGAATTTACTAAGAGAAACTTCCATTTTAACACATAACGACCCTAGTCAGAGGAACCACCTACCATCTGAACTGGGAATGACCCTCCAGAGAGGAACTACCTACTGTTTCTGGAGTCCTGTGTAGCCCTGTGGGCTAATGCATCAGACTGCAAAATCGTTTGAACTGCAAGGTTGGTGGTTCAAGCTCACTACTTGCTCCCTGGAAATCCTACACAGGGTC